ACCACGCTTCATCAACTCAGTGGTACTAAGGATGTTGTGGGCTGTAATTACGTCCGACATACGCCTCAATTTGGGCTGGCTCCAAACTAACCAACATGCTCGTATGATATGGTGCCTTTGCAGAAAATCCTTTGATGCGACACAATGCTACCAAGCTCCCAAAACCATAACCGCAAAAGCCAGGTCCTTCCTTTCGACACCAAAGGGAAGTAACAAATTCAGAACGAATGGCCTCGAAGACCCGCCACTTCGTGGCCGTTCGGAGGTCGTAGACCAGGACCACGCCGTCGCCCGTGCCGACTGCAAACCTCTAGAGGCCATGACAGGTCAGAGTCAAAACAACAAATTCATGGATTTATTCTACGGGGCACCGAGCAATATCCATGCCTTTTCGAGTTTGAGAGATAATCAAGCAACGAGTTGTGCCGTTTTTGTCTTAAGCGCGTGAGTTTTACTATCTATCAATGATCGTACAAATTTGACGCTGGCTCGACAGCAAGTAGGATGTGATTGAGAACTGGCGGCTACAACATCTTGATGGTCACATGTCTACCAAGTGGCTTCTGGCTGTCTTGATGAAAGTCCTTGGGCACTCAAATGGACACATGAACAGACTGTTTACACACGCACACACGCGCACACACACGCACACACGCGCGCACACACGCACACACGCGCACACACAAGACAAACTCACACTCATACACGCACACACACACACAAGCATTCTTAAACCGTGGCCCTTCAACACCAGTCGAAGAACAACATAACCAATGTCCCTCACACATGTTGAAAAAACACGTAGTTTCCGTAGTTTCCAAAAAGAACGAGATGACGTTCAGTCGTTGAATCCGACACACATCGTCCCGAAACCAAGGATCGACCATGGGGAAGGTCTGCACAAGCTCATGCAGGGCGCTGGTCACCGCGAGAAGACTGGCGCAGAAAGCAGCCGCTTTTCTTTTTGGTTCACCTCTGATATGCAAGGCCTTGTTGTGAACATTCTTGCTATGAACATATTTTGCATGCGAAAAGCATAATGGACTCGATGAACATTTCAGACGTCTCACTGAACAGGGACAACAAAGGCGCCTGTGGCGCCGCAACGTTGGGTCTGAAGGCTCCAAGCACCGCAACAATGCCTCGATGCTTCGTGGGAGAGAAATCTGAGACTCTTGCTATTGGTATTGTTAGATAATTGTATATGAGCCTAAAGCCTAAAGCTCAGTAAAGTGAAAGACTCCAAGACCGAAAAGGTTCTTTTTAAACCTTGCACCAAATCGTTTGTTTGATTGGGGTGCCAGTGAGTGTCAAGTGAGTGTGATGCCATGTACCGCATGGGGCTTTCTGAGTGCTTGGGTCAAGCCTATGCTTTCCTCGATCCTACGCGTTTTGACCATTTCACCACAACTTCGCGACTGCAGTCTGCTTCGTTATCTGCTTTTCCTATTCTGCGGCGACACAGATTGAGCTAGAATCCCAGTCTAGGCAAGAAAATTAAATTTGAACTGCTTGAAACGGCCTTGCCTCTGCGAAGCGGGGAAGTAGAGGACAAACCTGACCACAGGAGAGGTAATGGTCCATTGAGAGCCCTCCTGGTTCCAAACACAAAAACCATTCGATGGTAGGACCTCATCATACATGGAATTCATGGAAATGAGGACGCGACACCGGCACGTCGAACGATTTCGGTGCCACCTGTTATTACTACTAGCTTGGCACTTGTTACTAGTAGCTTCTTGTTACTACTAGTAAGGCACTTGTTACTAGAAGCGATGCACTTGTTACTAGTAGCTTCTTGTTACTACTAGTAAGGCACTTGTTACTAGAAGCGATGCACTTGTTACTACTAGCGATGGAGCCGGCCACGAACGATCGAACGGCCTTCTCGGGTGCCCGTTGGACGAAGAGCTGAAGGATCAGCAACGCCGAGGACCTCGGCATCGGGTGACGCGTCCGATCGCTGCCGTCCGATTGCTTCTTGCTCCTAGTAAGGCCAGCCCCGTTCGTAGCGTCCTTGTGGTAGGAAGGTTTTACGTGTGGTCCCAAATATGTCATGACGTCGCCGTCCAGCATTACCTTGTGCTACATCATGGAAATAAAAAAGGATGATGATGTAGAAAAAGAACTGGAGCTGTTTGCCTGGTTGAGTCTCTGTCTCTTGTTTTCTCTGGCTTCTTAAGAATTGGTTCCAAATATTCGATCCAAACCCATGCGTTCTTGTGGGCTGCAATTGCCGGAAACCATGGAAAATCCATCGACAACTGTATTTCTCCACAAACAATAAACTAAAAGCACTTGTTACTAATAGCAAACATTGTTACTACTAGTAAGGCACCTGTTACTACTAGCGTGGCACCTGTTACTACTTAAATCAATCCCATCCACAAATGGAGTCTCTGCTTTCTCTGACTCCCCAACGCATAGGCAGGACTGATATCCACCCGCACCGCTGCCTGTGTTGGGAAATTAGCAACATTGACTTGCCAAAAGGTTCCCTAAACATCTAGGAACCAAATCATTGGTGCAAGCGCTTCTTCATGAAAGCCCCCCACCCTCAGGTGGGGGGGAGCTTCCTTCAAGGCGCTCATCATGCGTCCAGTTTCTAGAAGCTTGTGTGGCTAGTAGCTTACTAGTCGCCCTTACTTAATTAAGTAGGCGGCTACTTCATTAAGTAGGAACGGGCTAAAACATGAGTAAAACATGTTGATTCCGAATACCGGCAATTTCCAAAAGCAATTGTTGATACGTCGTGCCTTGCTCATCACTTGCAATAAAGCAGCAGCATCAGTATTGCCGACCTGGAACTCCAGTTAATTAGGAATTAAAACAACATCGGATAAAAGCAAAAAAACAGCAACCCAGCAAGTATCCCCTTTCAACTCTTTGGAATCCAATACTGTTCAATATTTGAGTGCGAATGTGCGAACAGGTCAAATGGTTCTGAACATGAAAATTTGATGTAATAACAACGTGATCCTTTCAGGTGTTTAGCAGCGAAGCTTGACGTGTCTGCCTGCAGCAACAGTGCTGACGCTGCACCCGCCATGTGAGGCTCCTCGGCCAAAACGGTGTGAAGTATTGTGAAGTTACATGGCGAAATGAAGCTACTAGTAGTGCCCTTGCTCCTAGTAGCGATGCCAGGAGCCCCTGGTAGCGTCCTTGCTCCTAGTAGTAAGGCCAGGAGCCCCTAGTAGCGAAATGTCTTTAGTGAAAAATTCCTGGGCCAATTGTTCCAAGGTTTTGCTTTCTTCAGCGATGAAACTGCATCTCTTGGCTTCGTCATTTGATTGGACAACTTAAACATCAAACTTATCTTCTGACGTGACGGTCTAGCATCTATCACCTGACGGGTAGCATGTGCAAAACATACATAGCGCTACCTGCGACATGTCAGAAGAACCAAACAGGCTTTGTAACAAGACCATTCGACTTCCCCTTGAACAAAACGTTTGAGCGGCCGTTCGGCTGTTGTTGTCGTTTCGACCGCAACAGAAGTGCCTGGTAGAGGGCCAAGGCCTGAAGTGCCAACCTCTCCAAGGCCTCGTTGTCCTCCTTCCGACTGACATCTCATCAAACCATATTCGAGCAGGAACTGAATTGAATAAAACATTGGACTCCAAGCTTTCCAGGAAAATCTTGCTCAATAGACGTCATGAATGTGAAAAAACGCGACAAATGGGATCCTTATATAAGTGAGCTTAATTGAGCTTATAGGCTTTATAGGTATGTGGGCACTGTGGCGAAGGATATAGACAGGATCCTAAGATTGACGTCCTAAACCTTAGCCCTCAATCCGTTCCCGTCCTGAGGCTTTGAGGTTTGCCCTCACAAGCAACACTCGAAGAAACTGTTCCTAGTAGGCGTGCGTGTTCCTAGTAGTAAGGCCAGGAGCTACTAGTAGCGTCCTTGCTCCTAGTAGCGATGCCCTTTGTTCCTAGTAGCGTTCTTCTTGCACAAAAATGTCTCAATCGACCCAAATCAACCCCCAACTGGTTGACACGCCGAAAAGCATCACACATGTTGTCATTTGCTTCTGTTGGACTTCCATAGCTCAGTCATTTCCGGCCTCGTTTTGGCAGAGCCTTCTTGAGGTCGTCTTGCCACAAATGGAGTGTGATCGCGAAGACCTGGCAAATCGTGCGTTCACACTGTGAGCTTTGTGAACAAGCCAATAGCGTGTCTACAAAGTCCAGTGAGTTTTGAAGTGGTGCTTTTCAAGGAGGGGGGTGACTTGCATCCAAAAAGCACAGAAAGAAACTTACTGCATGAAAATATCAGCAAAGCACAAAGCACAGTCTTCTAAAAAGCAACTGGCCAAGGCCACTTCGCAGGCCATAATCTGCACCTGCTGCCTGGCGGCTAAAGTACAACTCAAACAATGGAGGTTAATTGTATGGTTGTCGTTGTTCACAGCGCTCTGCGGAGGCGAAAGTGCAAAGTCCTGAGAATGCCTGACATGTATTTTCGGCTTTCGCTGCCGTAAAAGCAATCTCTTTTGCCTGGCTTTTCTTGTGCTGCTCTAGCGACACTCTTCAGTGCAGCAACCGGAGCGTTTTGCGGCATGGGACAGAAAACACACCACATACATTGCTGCTCATTGCTGCTGGAGGACTGAGTAAAAAGACAATCAACTCAACTAGTATCTCAAGAAAAGTGAAACAACATTAAAGGAAAAGGAGTGGTAAGGGGAAAGAGTCCACAAGAGCTCGTCATTAGTTGATGTTGATATGTTGTCTTGACGCACCAGCCGCACTAGCCATGCCTTAAAGGCACGAACCAAGCACCTGTGCTATGCTTGGCATCTGCACAGACTCTGGCGGAGGCGGTGCTATGCATATGCCGCCTCAAGGAACCACCAGCCATGCGAAAGGTTGGTGGTCAAACCCTTCCACAAAGGATCACCATGCTGTGTTCCATAACAGCTGTGCTCTCTGTTGGCACAATATGTTGTTTCTTTTTCAGAGAAGCTCACTGAAAACATCTACGGTTCACCGCTTCCGCTTCAATGGAGCCTCGGGTTGACCACCAACCATGCTCGACTTGTAGCTCATCCCTACGGCAGCACGACGTAAATGAAAAGCACCACCAAGCAAAGGAAGAGGAGGACCACCTTGGGAGCTTAGGCTTCAAGTGTAACTGGAGTGGGGGATGATGTACGGTATCCGGAACAAAGTTAAAGCTCATCCTTGCAACTTAAGCTGCCCATCTGGTTAATAAAATAGTATCGATTTCATCGAAAAGCCTTGTGAGAGCTTTTCCAGACGATCTCAGGTTTTGATATGCTAATAATTCACATAAATATATATATATATATTTTTGAAGCGAGCGGTCGCAGCCCCCAGAAGGCGTGAAAGCCAAAATGACATAATACTTGATTTGGTTGTGGCAAAGCAAAAAACATATAGTATAGAGGTTGGATATGCTGCCAGCAGAGCTATGCAGATTTGCATGTCAGTTCGGCTGCGTGCCACTGCGTGCATTTCTAATATTCAGTGATCTTTTGCGGTTTGCTGCGGTCGGTCAGTCCAATATCCATCCAGTCGCGTTCAGACTTGTTTCATGGTGTCAAAACAAAATTGGAACGAGAACGGCTAGTCATGGCACATCTGAGTTCACAATACACAAGAACCATCACAACAGAGTAACCATTCTCTGGGCTCCCCAACCGAAAGGCCCAAACAGCGATTTTGGTCCAGGCGCTGGAAACGAGTAAACAACCTCGACCCGATGCCGATCGTTAAAAGTGACAAGCAGCGAGCCGTGAGTCGGTCCTACCTTGATCCATTCCCTCAGCTTAGCAGTAAATTCGTAAGGGTGCTTCGGTCCGATTTTAGTCAGATGCTAGGGCCTTTGTTGCCAAAAGTTCGGAAAGAGGCCTTTGCTTGTACACTAGGTCCCTGACGAGCGAACTCGATTCAGGCGAGAAGAGGTGCGGTCAGCAGCCTCCAAAACCGATCTTGGCGGCTTCAACCCACGGATTAAATTAGTCTTAAAAACAACTTCATTTGAGCTACTAATAGCGATTGCCTCCAACCTACTAGCGATGGCCTCCACCCAAATAGCGATGGCCTCCAACCTAATAGCTTCAACCCACTCATTCATTCTCAGCCAAGATTATTTTTAAGCCCAAGACCCTGCCTCCCAACTTAATTAACTAGGAGCCTACTTTATTAGGTAAGGGAGTAGTTCGCTACTAGGCTAAGTTATATAGCTTCTAGGTAGGACGCAGGATAGCTCACGCACCAATCATTTGGTTCGTAGATTTTTAGGGAGAAACCTAACATAAATCCCAGCCCACATAGTATTCCAAGGTGAACGTGGTTTCCTGTCACAGCTCAGCCAGCCTGATTGGTGCTGTCCAAGAGCCGATTCTGCATGGAGATCTCATTTCGGATGGTGTAACTGACCTATGTCATGTCTGGTCGTGTTTTGACAGATTTGAATAATGAAGTGGAGTCAATTCCATGGATCCCAAAACATGAGCAAGCACAACTGTGGTTCTCCTACACTTCACCAGTTGTGCAAAACGGCCCATGGCCCATACACTTCTCACGGCTTTGCATTGACTCGAATCCCAGTCAATGCATGGAGCTACTTCTTAGTTTTAGTGAGAGGTTTCCGAATCCTGTGGAAGCTCCAACTACTTCCAGCAACAGGACGCTACTAGGGGGGGCTCCTGGCCTTACTACTAGGAACAATGGAGCTACTATTCTTTCTTTATTTTTTAGCCCGCCCCCCCCCTCCTAAGAGCAAGGACGCTACTAGTAAGACTGGTCCTACAAGGATCCTCCCCACCTGCTGGAGGTTGTTCACAGAACCCTCCAAGGCTGCCAGTGGTGCATCCATCTCCCTGCCGCTGTTGCTGGCATTTGGGATGGAACTTGCGATCTAGGATGGTCTGTTTTGTGCAAAAAAGGAAATTACTTTTGACTTCAAGCTCGAAAAGAACTCTTGTTAAATTCGTCCACAAAGCATGACAAAGCACTATCTACCTGCATAGAGGCACCCCTAGCCAGTAGCACCCTTAGTGTGTTTCAATGACATCTGTGTAGCGCGAGTCAGACATGGAACGGAATAATGTCGTAGAACTTCGTATCTGTTCAGATGTGTTTCCTAGCCTCATCATCTGCTGCTGTCGATCCAGCATTTGCCGCTGTGAGACCTTGGCATTGCCGGTTCAGCATCCAAACAAACGTCAGTAGTTCTTCCAGCTGTTTCTGTTTCCTATCAGGATTGACAGCGCTGTCCTTCCAAAAGAATGGCCGTTCTTCAAAGAGGTACTTGCCGGCACTTGCTGCCATGGGACGATTCCACCTTTGGGGAAACAAGCGAAAAGGCTTTCTGAAAAGACTCAAGAAATGCCTGTTGAACTGGCTAACGATGCGCCGGCCATAATGTGAAGCGACTCAACCAACTCACGCATTCCTGGTGACCTCTCTGAACTTGCCGAGTGGCTGGTTGCATTTCTGCACCTGGCATGCTTTGCAAAGCAGCTGGTTTAGAACAACAGCATCAGCAGAGTCTACCTTCAACCCAACATCGCATGATCTGCATCTGCTGGTGCCAAGAGCAGGCTACACTTTTTTCATGATGGCTCCTTCATCCAGATACTACTGTAGTGGGTCTGGATTCTCTTGTCCAACGGATTCTGTAAGGATGTGATTAGGTTGGAGGCCATTGCTATTAGATGCTATTAGTATGTGCAGAATCCTTCGACAAAGGGAACCTAACTGTCGAAATGCGACCCTTGCACCCGTTCTCGATGCCAGTGCCTCGATCGGGGCGAGCTCCGCCTCGAGGCCGTGTGGAAGAAGTCATGTGAAAATCCGTTGCCAAAAGGGTAGACATCAAGAATATCGTGTCAAAAGAGCATCAAGAATTCTGTCAAAGTGGGTGACACGTGACTCTTGTTAACAAGGAAATACAAAAAACTGTCTCCAGTCTACCATTGACAATGAAGAGATATGAAGAGTGTTTATTTTCCTAGCCCAATTTGGTTCATCAAACCCAGTGGACGCACAGTGCGATTCCGGCGTGACCGGGTGCCCCTGACCGTTGGTCTCCGGTGCAGCGGAGGGTCGCAAGCGCTTCTGGATCTCTTGCTGCTCCGCGATGGCCTGGCGATTTCCAAAGAGTTCTCGAAAAAGAACGGCATAAAGACATCCTGAACTTCTTCCTGAAGTCCTGTGATGATTTGATTCAAGCTTTTGACCGGTCCGTGCGGAGAGGTGGCCTGTGCAAGCTCATCTCTGAATTGAGTGATGGACTTGCGGGTCACCTAGGAGGGCATAGCAACATGTTTGTGAGCTGAAAAATAAAGCTTTAGATGGTGTGTTCTTCATGTGTGGAAGTCTCGTTCTGCTAAAACTGGCTTGAATCTGCTTGTCACTGCTGCAACATGACAGAAGGATACAGAAAGTACAAGGCCAACAGGAACATTGTGTACCCAAGCAAACATGCCTCCAACGGCTTTCAATCTCTAAAAGGTCTTGAGATGGTCTGGAGTTCCCAAAAGAAGCTTCTGCATCGCTCACATCCCTGGAAGAAAGCGTTGGATGTGCTTTGGAACCAGTCAAGAGCACCGAAGCACGACGAGGCCTCATTCTCCGCACTGTTGCTGCTCAGACCTCGGCATGCGCTTTCTTTGCGACACTTCTCATCTGGAAGCTGTCACAAGTTGTCTGATTGTTTTTTCATAAACAGAAACCAAGAGTTGTTTGGATGGAGTTGAGAGGTTTTGGACATCCAACATCCACCTTGGCGGCCCAGACTCTCGAGCCCACGCTGCAACTGATCGAGCTCGATCTTCAATTGGCTCGCCTTCATCCGGGTGGTGGAGCGCGTTCTTGTTCCGCGTGCAGGCTTCAAAGGGTTGGAAAGAGACCCAACTGAAAACGGTTTGTCATTGTCAAAAGTTATGCCAAAATTTAGGACCAAATTTCGCCCTCTTAGCTCTGACTGTGAGGAATTCCGACTCCGGGCGGAGCGCCCCTCGCCTTCCCTCGGATGGTCGCGCTCATCTTGGCGCGTTCACTCCGTGAGGCCGCGTCGGTGCCCAGGAGCTCCAGCTTTTGGAGCTCTCCCTGGACCTGAAAACTGATGGGCCGATCACTGAAGAACACTTACCCTGCTCCAGAGTTGCAAGGTGTGGAAGGGAGGATGCATTAAGATGCAGTACTGGTACGTACATTGTATATACTTTACATTGTTCAACACGAAGAGGAAAAAGTTGAGCGCGACATGCAACCCCAATCGCCTGCGCAGCCGTAGCGCGTGCCTTTTGGAAGTTTTGCCGCCATCGGGCAGCTTGGTCCTCGGCAAGAATATAGAACTGAAGCGAAGCGATGCATGATATTAACATCAGCTATGAGTCTGTGAGTCTATGAGTAGCTCAGCTATGTAATGGGTAGCATCCCGCTTTCCTATGCACTGGTCCTTGATGCTCCTTGCACCTCTTCAGTATTCACGTGTTCCAAAACAGTCTGAGACTCCAGCCGACATCTCAGACGAAGACGCCAGAAAAGGAAACTATTATCCAGTCTGAAGCGGTTGAGGATGTTGAGTAGCTGCTCTGCTGGTGGTGCTCACATTTCATTCCGAATCATGTTCACAAGCCAAGGAAAGTAGTCCTGGCTATCATAGACTTTTTCAACTAAGTAGTATGAAGCAACTCTGACCATTCCGTTGAATCTGGACTGTCTTTCACTTGTTAGTTCTTTCACTTTCTTGTGCATAGCTGAGAGGACACCTGCAGAAGAAATCAAATAAATAACCTGAAGATTTCACTGAGACAAAACAAACAAATCGACGGCTTCTGCCAGCATAGCAAAGTCGACAGGCAAACCCGCTGCCCGTCTTGCCCAGCATGCGTGCCTTACTTGGTCAAATGGTCCAAGGAGAATCAGCACTCGGACACAATACGAACTTGATGGAGCTTTGTCCAATCAAAAGCATCGCTCTTCCATCTTCTTACTGCTGTTGAAGGAATAAAGCCTATAGCACCTATCATCAGGAAGACCGCAGCATTTGCAGTGTCGTCCACTGAGTCCGCGACTAACAAGCCTTCTGCTAGCGAAGGCTCTACTTTGGCTGCTTGCCTGACTGCAAGGTACAAAGAAAATAACACCTAATAGATCCTAGTAGCGATCGCCTCCAACCTAAGAGCGATGGCCTCCAACCCAATAGGAAGATTTCGGCAATTCAAGACGTGCAACCTGCAGGGCATCATCTGCTTTATGACAGTGTATTAGTACTCACTGCAGGCACTTCTGGGCCGATCTAGCCTGAGTCTTGGTCTAGTCTGATCAATGGCCTTAGGAGTTGATTCCTCTTCGGGCTACCCAGGTTGAATGGGCAACTCCCACCATGAGTCTTTTGGACCCCACTGAGCTCACCCCGAAACAGCCTGCTATGGGCCACCAAGGCTAACAGTAGGGTCGCCTCAGCAAGGAGCACGTGCACCCACCCTCTCATCGTAGAATCTCCAAAATCCGAAGTGGTTGATCGCAATCCTTACAGATTTATGGTATTTTATGGTAGCAGATCATCCAGGATCAAGCATCGAAGGCCTCGCATAAGTCATGTCTGGAAGAGAGCTGGATCATGGGTACCACCCTAAGCACGCCTAAGCAGCACTATCAGTCACTATCCGCATCATGATGCATCATTCATGTATCGCCACACCTGTCTGGCCAGCTACTGGGCGGTACCTTCCCATGTGTTAACACATGCCTTCCTCAAAGCTGCGAAGCTGGGAGACCATGCCGCATCTGCAGCGCTCTGCGGTGAGACAAATCCAGTGAGGACATCCTGCTACTAAACCCAAACACTTTGAGAAAGCCTTTTTACTTGAAGGAAGGGGACAAGCAGAAAGGTCAAAAGGTCTAAAGAAAAATAAACAGTGGAAAATAGAAATAAAGACAAACATAACTAAATCTGTAGGATTTGTGCACAATTAATTATATGCAGGGTCACATGAATCTGTAGCTTTTGGGAGGGTGAGGCCAAAACTATAACAAACAACCACTTCTGCATGAGGCCCAAGTCATTTGCCATGTCGCCTCAAAGTTTTGGCAAGCTTTGCAGCAATTTTGCAGCAGCTGAGGCAGCTTGGCAGCATGGCGAGACACATCCCGTCCTCTTTTAGCAAGAGCTTCTGGAAGGCTTTCACCGCTGTGTTGACTACCAAGAAGGGGCCCTGAGTAGTGAAGTTCAGCGGATGCGGCGGTGACGAGGTCGGCAAAACAAGGAGTTGCAGTTGTCTTCGTCTCCTGTGAATTTGAAGTCATAAATTTTGATTCTTGTTTATGATATCGCTATTAAGTTTGGAGGCCATCGCTAGGTTGGAGGCCATCAGTAGTAGGTTGGAATAGGTTAGAGGCTCTGAGGCGTTTGGAGGCCATCGCAATTAGGGTGGAGGCCATCGCTATTAGGGTGGAGGCCATGGCAATTAGGTTGGAGGCCATCGGAAGTAGGTTGGAGGCAATCGTTATTAGGGAGGCCTCTTCTTATAAATGAAATCGATTTCAGCGAAATCGACCGCGGGCATCTGTGAAAAACATGCACCTCAGAGAGGAAACGCGCCAAACGTGGGAGCCAAAAGCGCTGAAGCACCTTGTGCAGATTCCAAGCGATATCTCACAGCTGAAGGACATAGTCCATGACAGTTTCTACGCAAAGTGACATGTCCAACACATAAACTTGCTGGAAAAGAAACTTGGTCTACTTCCACTTTCTGATGTGAAAGACGTGAAAAATCCCAAGGATCTTTTCAGTGTTGCGAATTGCAACGGCCCTCAGTGGAGGATGCGCCTGGCGAGTGAGCTCGGGACTCAACAGTGCCTGCGCCAGCAATGGCAGGAAGACCTGCAAACGAGTGAGGTCCTTCGACCGGTCTAACCTTATAGCTATGGCCTCCAGCCTAAATAAACAAACTTAAACCGTGAAGGAACATTTATGAAAGTCGAACGTCTCCCCCAAACGTTCAAGTCCTTCTTGTGAACTGCTCAATACTGTTGGGACATCTGTCTTTTGCGTTCTAGTCTTCTTTCAGCACCTCAGGTGCGATGGTTTGCTCCGGCTCCTGTGCACGCAAAGCTGAGTAAAAGGCTCCTAGTAGCGTCCTTGCTCCTAGTAGCGATGCCCTTTGCTCCTAGCAGCGTCCTTTGTCACAAGTTCCATCAAAACATGATACTCTGGCTGCTGGCTATGCTTGTTCCAAACAGTGTTCCCCTTGCAGAAACCACAAACCTGCGGTTAGTGTGTCAAAAGGAGGTGTCAAAAAGGTGAAACAGCTTTCTTCTATTTCACGACGTATTTCAGCGTAGTTTGGACTGGTCTCAATAGGATGGAGTCCACTGGGATGGATCTTGGATGTCGAATATCAGCTTGACAGGTCCTCCATCATGAGCTGCAACGCTGAGGACATGGAAGGAATCGCGGATGAGTCACCTTCCATCGGTTTGCTCCGTCCGAATGTTTCGGAAACAGGAGTTTCAACATGTTTCAACCATTGCTCTTTTGAGGTTTCGGGTTGCAAGGACCAGGTTGAAACCAGTTCTTCCTTGTTCCAACCACAAGACTTTGGGAGAAAGCCTCCCATGAAGCAGATCCCTCCTGTTTGTTGCTCCCTTCACCGCTCTTCTTCTCACTGGCTCTCTCACAGCTCGCTGAGCTCACCCAAATGGGGGGGAAAGCAACATCACAAGACTTAAAACACAATTAACTTCAACCTAATAGCGATGGCCTCCAACCCACTAGCGATGGCCTCCAACCTAAAGGAAAATCACAAGACTTGATGCCTTGCCTTGTGGGAATGACAAACCCTCGTCCACACCAAGCACCTGCAGGCTCGGCATGATGCAACAAAACAATGCAAGTGTGTTTCATCTCAACAGAGACTGGTGCGGTGGATGCACATCCACACGCATGCTGCCCCGAACTCCCTGCTCGAAAAGAAAACATGGGAACCAATGAGTCCGTTTCGGCTCCGCCCCCACTGCCACTTCACTTCTGCCGAAACAAACCACTGCAAAGGTCTCACTACCTACACCTATAGCTTATAGTTACTCCCAATTCTATTTACCTCCGCCTCCGACTAGGAACAAGGACGAAACGAACGGGGCCTATCTTTTCGGAATTCAACCGACGTGACTCTCTGGGTGCCGCGCTCCCACGGCCATTGGGCGTTCTGAGGCCAGGTGCACACCCAGCCCGCGAAGCCAGGTGAGGTCCCTCAGCACAGACGGTTTTCAGCCTTTTGGCGCGTTTTGGCGGTTGCACGGCAGCATGGCGCCACGTATCACTTCGTGTCACCAGTCACTAGTCCTTACACCTAAAAGCAATGGCCTCCAACCTACTAGCGATGGCCTCCATGTCCTTACAACTGAAAACATCTGAAAACACTCATTCTAGACGACCCCTTACCAGCAAAGGCAGACGCAAAAAACACGTCAAAACAAAACCCGCATTTGTGGACGTATGCGCAAAGAATAGCAAAAGAACCTTCCTACGAAACCGTGGGTTTTCCTAGACTTGGACGCTGTTGATCACCTTAAGTTGGCAATACAAATCTGATAGGTACGAGGACTGTTGTGAAACTGAGAATTGCAGGAAACTAGCTGAACCCACAGAACAGCTGCCAGCTTGACCTGCACTTTCGTGATGGTGAAAGAACAAAAGTATGCTACGATTCTTCTTCTAAGTGCTTCACCGAAAGCAACGCAAAGCTCCACCTGCGCGAAAGTGAGACCATAAATACACCCTCTTGCCCCTCCAAAACAATGATTTCTTCAGGACGACCTGTGGGTCTCTAGACTTCCAAGTATAGAAATGAGAAGGTGTTCTTCCGTCTCTCTCTCTCTCTCTCTATTGGGTTGGAGGCCATCGCTACTAGGGTGGAGGCCATCTCTATTAGGCTCGCTCTCTCTCTCTCTCTCTCGGTGCTTTGTGTCATGTAGAGGTTGAGCTGCGCTTCTTGTACATTTGAAGAACAATCAAGGAAACGGAACGAGGTCTGCCGCACTTCCTGTCTCCCGAGCCCGTCCCGTTTTGTCCGCAGCCGAGAGTGATCGAGGGATGCAACAAAGGAAGTATCCACCCAGTTAAGGCCCATGCTTCTGGTGAGGCTACTTCTGTGGCATTCAATAGGCCCATATAGAGGTCTTTCCAGGAAACTCTGAAGCCATCATCGTTCCCGAACAAGTCAAGGTCTGATCCTACCTGGAGCCAAGCCCTTTGGTTGCAAGGAGTCTTGCATACCGCGCTTGTCTCTTGGAAAGTTTACCGTGCTTAGAGGCCGCAAAAACGATGCAAATGGATCTTCCTGCTCTTGTGGAACCCCATCTCAATCGCTTCACCAGACTCCCAGTTTCCAGGATCTGGAGAAGGGAGAAGAAGACCGATGCCAAACAGAAAAACAACAACAGTGGAAGGCTGTTGTCGCAAAACAAAAGGTGAACGGTGATCTTCTGGCCTTGCTTGCAAGTCAAAGACTCTGCAGTAAATGGAATGACTGGGTTGTTCGTGTTGAATGTTCATGAGGAAAGCAGGCCGCCGGAGAATACTCGCAAAACCCACTCGCAAACACAACGTGGCGAAAGACTGTTGTCCCGATATATTCCGATATATTGAGAGTGGTATTGGGTGAGTGTAGCTCAAGCATCCAAGTGCTACCAGAATGTTTTGTTTCTGAAAGGACATCTCCAGACCTTGTCATTGACATCGGGCATCCTGCATCCACTGGCACAGCAACTTCGGCTGCCAGCGCGACTGATGTTGGGAGAAAACATTGCGCTGACCCCGGTGGATGCAGAGTCATTTCAACTGAGTGGCTGTCATCTTGTGACCTTCTGGATTCTGAGATGCATCCAGCAAGGGTCACTGGAGGCCGTAGCTTTCTGCAGCTCTATCTATCGAGGATTGGCGAAGACAGACCACAAATTCAACAGAGACTCAACAAACCGAATTCTCCCATCCTTCTGCCGCGACGAGCAAATAACAGGACTAGCTACTTGGTGAAACATCGTGCTACTCAGCTGCGGAGGAACATTAACACTAGGAGAGTCAAGATGCTGAGCAACTCAGCAAGACTCCCTTAGTGTGGCAACTGCCATCATCCTGAATTGATCCCGGAATCCAAGATCATCTTGACCCTTCCATTCGTTGCAGTCATCACGTGCCGATGACTGCAGCTTTGTGTTACCAGTCGTCATCCTCCTCCTGGAGTTTGAGCGCATCCTCGGCCGCCTTGAGCCTCTTCTCCTGGCAACCGGGATCCTGGAAATCCTCCATGAAGTACTAGTAACAAGGGCATTACAGGCCATCGCTAGTAGGTTGGTGGCCATTACCAGTACCGGATAGACCCGAATCAGTTCAGGATCTTGACTGTTTCCTTCCGGCAGGTGCCTTCTGCAGTACTAAAGACTCACACAATCGTAAGAGCTTTCTTTTTCTGCAAAATCCTGAGCTGCTCTGTAGGCATAGGAATTGAAATTGCACATGGTAGTCCTGATTGGGCACCCCCAAAGTAAACTGGCACCCCTCTCCCCTCTCGGCAGCTCCTTCTCCAACTTCCGGCGTGCTTCGTTTTCCCTCTCTCTTTGCATCTCTCTCTCCTTGTGAGGGCAAACGTTTCCTGAACAAAGAACATGATGGTCCATCCTGAAACCCTGTGGGGAAGCCTTCACAATTGACTTTGTGTGTTTGGGATTCGGTACCAAATCAAGTGCATCTGAGCCAAGGTCAGCACCGATAGTGGTTGAGCATGCATGGCGCCCAAAACATAGAGATCATCATCCAAACTATTGATGACTTAGCCATGCTCGACAACTTGTAGCCCTAAGCATGCACCCGGACTGCTACTAGGGGCTCCTGGCCTTACTAGGAGCAAGGACGCTACTAGGGGCTCCTTGGCATCGCCACTAGGAGCAAGGACGCTACTAGGGGCTCTTGGCATCGCTACTAGGAGCAACGACGCTACTAGGGGCTCCTGGCATC